ATTGCGCAATGGCTGACAGTCTGGTGACTTTGATGGGATTCTTTATTTTAACTCAGATGTATAAAAGTATGTCTATACGCAGAAGCATAATCAAATAAGTAAATTAGATAGCTTCTCTTCTCCAGTTATCTTAGCATTCTTTATCTATTAATTGTGCAAACTTAGTTCTTACCTGACACTTTTGGCATTCCTGACATTCTACGAATTACCTAATACCTTGATTTTGAAGACTTTTCCCATTTTACGCTTCATGACAGACATGCCCTTATTATTTAATTTAAGGTGATGAAGTATTGTTAATTGAATTTTTCCCACTATGATATGAGTAAAACTGATGCTTTTAATTGAATTTCACATAGAATTGCTTTTCCAAAATGTGTTCTTATCCAGACCGGACAAGGCTGCAGTTTCGATCTCACCTAGATCTTATAAATACCCCCAACGGGACTCGAACCATGCCAGTTCAGAATTTGATTTCGGCATGTTAACCACTACGTCAGACTGTCACGAGGCTCCTTGGGTCACAGAGTAGATGTGTATTTTAAGGAAGGCCTTGCGTTTTCCCATATTGCGGCTGCAGTACAACGGGATTGATCCGTTATTTTCTGTTGAGATCGACCAACGAATCTCTTCTTCATTCACTTTTACACGAAATGAAAGTCCCTCCAACAATGTCATCTAAGAAGTTTAATTGAACCCCAGTTTCTCTTAGTATAGAATCGCAGTAAGTTTGGTGATCATGTCTGGAAGCTTAATAAAGCATCCAGATGGAGTAGTAAAATGGAATGGAGCTTTTACTATGTGTTGGTGTTTGGTCAGATTCGGTTAATGAAGGATTTCATGTTCTAAGGACATCTTTCACAACAATACAGTCGAATATTCATCACGGATGGATGGAAGTGGACAGTGCATCTTTCTCTGTCTTCTGTGAAGACAATTTATGAATTCATTACAACCCTCTTTTCAACCAAGCTAAGAGGTCCAATAACAGAAAAGCATCAAAGGACTCCTGAAACCCTACAAAATTTCTTCATGTTTATTTACCTTAATCAGAAATAATGCAATTTCTAAATTCATCATTGATGCTAAATTCCTTTTTACTATCTTACTCCTTCTAAAATTTGACTTAACTTTTCAGGATTATGACGATAGAAGAAAGGCAGCCGTCAAATTGGTTCACAAAGGAATGGATTTCTTCAAGCATCAGCACAAACTCTATCTTGAACGGGTTAGTACTTAATGCTCCGATTCTATTTACAAATATTCGGTGCAGAACAATTTTTAAAATAACATGTGCCTAAATCGAACTGGAGCAACTCATTTATGGCAATACAGCCGAGACCGTTAGAGCATAGCATCTGTTTTGATCTTGCCCTCCAGCGTTTCATGCCACCACTTCATGGATCCATTACTCCTCTCACATGCTTGTACGGCAGTTGCTTTTGTGAGTGCACGCTTGATTGTCATCCTTCGAACATGTTCCATAGAAGGCCAGTGATGGAGCTTGGGCCCTCGACCTGTCACCGTCGGGTCTTTTAATTAAGAGGACAATTTGGCCTCCGACAAGTCTCGCGAGTGAGCTTTGACGGTAATAAACTGCATAGAAGTTGTTTGACC